CACATGGTAGTTAAATTTTTTAAATTCTTGAGGAACATCCATACTGTTTTCCACAGTGGCTGTACCAAGTTATATTCCCACCAACAGTGCACAAGGGTTCCCTTTTCCTCATATCCTCATCAATATTTACTCTTGGCCTTTTTACTTTTTTAGAGAGAGGGGAAGGGAGAAATAGAAACATAGATGTGAGATACATTGATTGGCTGCCTCCTTCACGCCCCCTACTGGCGATCAAATCTGAAACCTGGGCATGTGCCCAGACCAGGAATCGAACCAGGACCTCTCAGTCCATAGGGACAACACTCATTCCACTGAGCCACACAAGCTAGGCACTCTTGGCCTTTTTGAAGACAGTCATTCTGACAGGAGTGAGGTGAAATCTCATTGAGGATTTGATTTACATGTTCCTTTAGATCAGTGCTACAGAGCAACTTTTCATGTACCCATTGGTCATTTGTATATCTTCTTTGGAAAAATGTTATTCAGTTCCTCTGCTCAATTTTAAATGTGTTTTTATTGACTTGTTTTCTTTTTTTTTTTTTTTTGAGAGAGAGGAAAGATGTGAGACAGAAACATCAATCAACCTCCTACATGCCCCCTACTGGGGATTCAGCCCAAAACCAGGCATGTGCCCAGACCATGAATTGAAGCAGGACCTCTCAGTCCATGGGGTCAATGCTCATTCCACACCAGCCGGGCCCTCTGCCCATTTTTAAATTGTATTGTTTGTTTGTTTTGCTATGGAGTTGTGTGAGTTCCTTATGCATTTTGGATATTAACCCCTTATGAGATATATGATTTGCAAATGATTGCCTTTTCATTGTGTTGACTGTTTCTTTTGTTGTATAGAAGCTTTTTAGTTTGATGTAGTACAGCTTATCTTTGCTTTTGTTGTTTGCACTTTTACTAATTTCATTCTTCTGCATGTAATTATCCAGTTTTCCCAACACCAATTACTGAAGAAACTATTCTCTCCCCATTGAGAAGTCTTTGCTCCCTTATCAACTATTAGTTGACCATATAAATGGAGGGCTGTTTCTTGACTCTGTTCAATTGGTCTATGTGTCTATTTTTACATCAGCATCATACTCTTTTGATTACTATACATACTGTTTTTATTACTATAGTTTTGTAGTATAGTATGAAATAAGGAAGTGTGATGCCTCCAGTTTTGTTCTTATTTCTCAAGATTGTGTTGGCAATTCAAGGTCTTTTACGGTTCCATACAAATTTTAAGATTGTTTTTCTATATCTATAAAAAAATGCTTTCGGAATTTTGATAGGGATTATACTGAATCTATAGATGGCTTTGGGTAGCATAAACATTTTAGCAATATTAACTTTTCCCATCCATAAACATGGGCTATCTTCATCTTCTTTTATTTCTTTCATCAAAATGGTAGTTTCCAGTATACAGATCTTTCACCTTCTTGGTTAAATTCTTCAGTCTTTTATTGTTTTTGATGCTATTGTGAAAGAGAGAGTTTTCTTTAATTCTTTTACATATATTTAATTGTTAATGTATAGAAACAGAACTGATTTCTATATATCCTGTAACTTTACTGAATTTGCTGATTAGTTCAAATAGCTTTTTAGTGGAGTCTTTGGAGTTTTCTATATATGATTATATCATCTGAAAACAAAGACATTTTCACCTCATCCTTTCCTATCTATCTTTTATTTCTTTTTCTTGCTTAATTGCTCTGGTTAAGATTTCCAGTACTACACCAAATAAGAGTGGTGAGAGTAGGCACCCTTGTCTTGTTCCCAATGTTAAGAAGAAAAGCATTCAACCTTTCATTATTGGATATGATGCTAGCTGTGGGCTTCTCATACATGGACTTTATTATGTTTGGTATATTCCTTCTATACCTGATTTGTTGAGAATTTTTATCAGACAAAAAAGTTATATTTTTTGTAAAATGCTTTTTCTGCATCTATTGAGATGATCATATGATATTTACATTTCATTCTATTAATTTGATCTGACATATTTACTGATTTGTGTATGCTAAATCATCCTTGTGGTGTATAATAATTTTTTTGTGTGTTGTTGAAAGTCTGTTAATATTTTGTTGAGAATCTTATGCACGGATATCTATTGCATCTACATTTACCAGGGATGTTGGCCTATAGTTTTCTTTTCTTGTAGTGTCCTTACATGGCTTTGGTATCAGGGTAATGTTGACCCTGTAAAATAAGTGTTCCCTCCTCTTCAATTTTTTGAAAGAATTTGAGAGTAATTTTTTTTTTTTTTTTTTTTAATGTTTGGTAGATATCACTTGAGAAACAATCTGATCCTGAGCTTTTCTTTGTTAGGAGGTTTTTGATTACTGATTAAATCTCTTTACTTGTTACTGTTACTGTTTTATTCAGATTCTAATCATGTCTTCATGATTCATTTTTTGGTAGTTTGTGTGTTTCTAGAAATTTATCCATTCTTCTGGGTTATCCAATTTGTTGGCCTATAACTGTTCATAGTAGTCTCTTGTGATCCTTTGTATTTCTGTGGTATCAATTGTAATGTTTCCTCTTTCATTTCTGATTTTGAGTCTTTTTTCTTAGTTTAGATAAAGGATTGTCAATTTTACTTATCTGTCCAAAAACACAGGTCTTTGGTTATTGATATTTTCTATATTTTTCCTGGTATCTATTTCACTTAATTCTGCTCCAATCTTTCATTCCTCTCTTCTGCTAATTTGGGGTTTAGTTTACTCTTCCTTTTCTAGTCCCTTGAGGTTTAAAGTCAGGTTGTTCACTTGAGAGCTTTCTTTTATCTTAATGTATGCATTTATCACTCCAAATTTCCCTCTCAGAACTCCTTTGAATGCATCCCACAGGATGCATATACCACCATATTATAGTATTAGAGTACTTTAAATTTGACAATATACTTAGCTTTACTAATGACTTGTACAAGTTCATATGTTTTCATGTTACTAATCAGCATTTTTCCATTTTAGCTGGAAGCACTTCTCTTAGCATTTCTTGTAAGGCCATTCTAATGGATTCTCTCAGCTTTTGTTTGTCTAGGAAAGTCTTTATCTACACTTCTGAATGATAATTTTGCTGCAAAGAGTATTATTGGTTGGTAGTTTTATTTTTTTAGCACTTTGAACAGATCATCTGACTCTCTCCTCTAACATTTCTGTTGAGAAACCCACAGATAAACTTAGGGGGATTTTCTTGTAAATTACAAGCTTTTAAAATTTTTTCTTTGTTTTTCTATGGTTTTATTACAATATGTCTTGGAGAGGATATGTTTAAACTGAATTTGTTTGGTAATCTATGAGTTTCATGAACTCAGATATCCAAATCCCTCCACAGTTTTGGGAAGCTTTCAGCCATTATTCCTTTAAATAATCTTTCTGTCCTCTTCTTCCTCTATTCTCCTGAAACTTCAATAATTTGCAAATCATTCCATTTGATGCTCCCATACATCATATAGGCTTTCTTCACTATTTTTCCATGCTTTTTTTCTTAGTTCTCCTCTGACTGGATATCAAAGTTCCTGTCTTCTAATACACCAATTCTTTCTTTCTTCTGCTTGATCCCTTCTTCTGTTGATGCCTTCTACTGCATTTTTCATTTCAGTCACTGTATTCTTCTGCCCCAGAGTTTGTTTGGTTCTTTTTTCTGATTTCTACAGCTTTGTTAAATTTCTCATTTTGTTTGTGTGTTGTTTCCTGACTTCACTTAATTGTCCTTCTGTGTTTTCTTGTAGCTCATTAAGTTTCCTTAAAACAGCTATTTTGGCATCTTTATTGAATAAATCATAGATCTCCATGTCTTAGGGATCAGTTACTGGAAGATTACTGTGCTTTAGTAGTGTCACATTTCCTTGATTTTTCTTGTTCCTTGATGTTTTGTGTAGCTGTCATTACATCTGAAGTAGCAGTCAACTCTTCCAGTCTTTACTAACTGATCTCTCCAATAATCCAAACTCATATATTTTTTTCTCCAACAGTGTGCTAGAACTTTTCTGCTGGAAATCTGGACTTCCATAAAGGCTTTCTTGTCCAAGGGCAACTGACTAAGACAGCAATTTTCAACTGGTGTGCTGCAAGAATTTTTAAAACATGCAACATCCAACTATTTAGTCAGGGCACTGAGCTCTTTTCCCTTAGACTGTCAAATAAAAAATAACTGACAACAGCCAACACAATAATAGCCATTCAGTGTAAATAAATAAAAATTATACCTGTTTTTTGTCAGATTGGCAAAATATATTTTTTGGTGTGCTGCATAATTTTAGAAATTAGTTTATGTGTGCCATGAGATGAAAGAGGTTGAAAATCACTGGTCTAAGACAGTATTTCTCAGATGGTCCCGAACTACAGACCAGGAGGTTGGAACCTTTTCACAGGCCACTATAGGCTCCACAGCCAAGACCAAGATCTGTTTGCTTAATAGCTGATGCACAGATGGGCAAGACTCCTCCAAGTCCCATGGCACATGGTGTTGGATCCCACAGCTTCCACCAAGGCATTTTTTCCATGGATGGATGTCAAATTGTTTTGGGGACAAAGGGGAGGGCATAAATGAAGGCTATCTTATTCAGTCATGATACTGTTGTCTAATTTTAATTTAAATCTAAATAGTCACATTAAGCTAGGGACCACCATAGTGTACAACACAATCCTAGAGGCTTTATTGTACATACAGTTGTGGTCATGCAAAACACAGTTTAGTTTTGTATCATTATTTATTAATTACTGTAATGTTTACCATACGAACAATTATGAAACTACTTTTGCCCACACCATATACTATTTTACTAGAATCTATTTTACAAAAGTAAAATTAAAAGAAACTTGAAAAAATTGACTTTCAGGTATTCAATTAATAACAGTAAATACCAACTAAACAAAAAGTAACAGTTCTGGTATAAAATGTCAGAGTTGTGATCCAAAAACATGTTATCCTCCATAAAGCAGTTACCAGAAATCATTAAAGAATTCCTCTTAAACTCTTTCAAGACAATTACCATAACAACATACCAGGGTTCCATTTATGTCCTGACTCAGATTCTTCATCTCCCCCACAATGAAAGCAACCAGGTAAGTGCTCATCTTCACACTTTCGAAAAATTCATCCTGAACAAGTCCATCTTTCACATTGACTGATGACTTCTACAAACAAAGGGGAAAATATGACAGTTCTATGGGAATAAATGACAATGACAAACTGAAAATTCAAATAGGTAATAAATAGTAAAGATGGCATATTTTACTCTCTCAGCACTAGTTTCTAAACAGAGCAAGGCCCTTAGTCTCAGTCTGTTCTACCATCATCCATCATGAGGATATATTAATTACAGAGAAAATCCTTAAGAGTTTTCACTCTCAAAAGATGGCTTTAAATAAATGTAAGTTAGAGATAGTAAGTAACATTGGCTCGGTTTCTCCTCTTTAAAACACCATCAAAACCAAAATCCTTTCTTATGATCTAGCAATGCTCCTCTCTATGTCTACACATACAGCCAATAAAGGAACTAAAGCTGGGATATCACACTGAAAGATCTAAAACAGCTTCAGAAAGTACCATGTTGAAGACCCCAAGAAGGTTTAGTGGGATCAAAGTCATCACAGAAGTCTGTAGCAAACACAAGATGAAGCAATGCAAGCAATCTTTTAGGCACGTAGGCATTCCACCTCTTTTAGAGAAAGAGTAAGGTAAAGAGTATTTCTGGGAGTGGAGCTGTTGAAGTGACGACCCTGCTGAAGGACAGATCATGTCTTCTCTTGCCTATAAGGGTTCACTCCATAGTCTGCTGAATGTGGCTGCTCCTCTCCCCTAGCCATATGGGTTCTGAGAGGCTCCTATCAGGCTGTGCACAGCCCCTCAGGTGTCAACAAAAGGACCCCCTAAGTTCTGTTTAGCATAAAAACAATTCTGCTTGGTTTCACCCTCACTGCCTCCCACGCAGAGCTCACATCCAAGAAAGTTGTTTGTGTTCTTGTTAAACCTCCATATTCCAATACTGATTTTTAAATAACTAATAAAACACCAAGATCAATCATGATTCAACATTATCAAGTATCACTGTTTAGAACAGCAAATTCACCATATCTCAAAAAATATCATTCTGACCTTCAATACTGGTTCATAGAATTAATATTTTGTGCATCTTTAGTATATAGCACACACTTTACATTTCCTGCCCATACATACCACACCCAGCAGGTCTTTCTCGTTCCTTAAGTGCTCCTCAGGCTGACTTCTCAGTTTATTTCAATATATATATTTAACTACTATGTATGTATTTTAAGAAAGAAAAAGAATGCATAAAATTTTAAGCATTCTCAACAATATGACAAATAGGAATTCAAGCCTTCACAACAAAGAAAGAGATCCACTCAAAGGTTTTATAATGAAGGACCAGAACAGTACCTTAGGCATATTTGATAAAGCAGTGTATTGCTTCTCTCTTATGATCTTGATGATAAATGTGGCTTTCAATGCTGGTTCATCAAAACAAGGAAAAGCAGATCTTGCTGCCAGGGGTTCAAATTGAGTTGCTGCAAAGTACCTAGAACAAATGGAAATTCATCCAATAGTTATTGAGCACCTACTATTCAAGGTACCTTGCCAAGTGGATACTAAGATAAACATCATACAGTCCCAGTCATTAAAGGATCCACAATCAACTGGGAATGGCAGAGGTTACACAATGAACCAGAAACTTGTCCTGACAAATCATGTCATAACAGAAAAAAAAGCACTGGAAACAAAGAGTAGGAAACAGATTCTGACTAGTAGTTGAGACATCATAAGGAAACTGGGGACACAATCTGAGGAGGGCCTTTAAGAAATGAGGAATATTTTAAAAGTTAGGGAAGGGAAGACAGTATAATCTGGAAAGAGTAGGAAGCACAAGGGAAGAGCAGTACATGTTCAGGGACTAAGGATGGCTGTCCAACATGGCTAGAGATGGCCACTGAGGTCATAAAAAGGCTTCTGATGGAAGATCCATATGAAGGGTGGTCATTAATTACCACTACCCATCTGTACAGACTCCGGCTTCACAACACTAAACCTTAAACTCACAACTTGCATTTTCAGGAAGACTGAAAAAACCAGTTGTCCCATACTACACTTGTTTCCTTTACTCTTCAGATGAATTAAACATTTTTCTTTCCCTCTTACAGCACAGCAACAGCACTTGAGAATTTGACTCATATAAAGGTTGGGAGTAAAGCATAAAAAGAAAAAGAGGAGAAATGCAAGTTTTCAATTAAGCAGAGGAATAAAACAGATCTGCATTTGGGAAATCATCTAAACATTGGCACAGAGTAAATCAGGGCAAGTGTGGCCCTGGTGTGTATATTTCAGGTACCAGTCATTATGGTACATATACAACTGCCACTTTAGATACGAAAGCCTCACTTGCTTAGGGCTAAATTTCCACTTTTAAAAGGTGAGTAGAAAACAGTGTGGAATTTGTAGTCAGACGACACAAACACTTCAATTTGCAACCCACATGACTTCAGGCAGATAAATGACCTATGTCAACAATTTATTTATTAAATTAGGACTGAGGTAGGATTCTCTGTCAAAACACCCAGGGTTTTTGTTAGAATCAAATAAAACTATTCATCATAAAAATTACTCGTATGGCCCTGGCCACTTTGGTCCAGCAGTTAGAGCGTCGGCCTGTGGACCAGAGAGTCCCAGGTTCGGTTTCCACTAAGGGCACGTACCTCAGTTGCAGTTTGTCCCCGCCCCGGTAGGGCTCGTGTAGGTGGCATCCATTCGATGTGTCTCTCTTTTATTGATGTTTCTCTCTCTTCCTCCCTCTCTCCCTCCAGCTCTATCTGAAGATGAATGCAAAAATGTCCTCAGGTGAGGATTAAAAAAAAAAAAGTTACTTGTATGCCATAAAGTCCCACATAGATGTTTATTATAAATGCTAGATAACTATTCTTTAACTGTTAAAATTATTACACTTTCTTTCTGGTAAGGATTTGCCCAAATAAATGTTTCTACTGGGTAAACTGCAAGAAAGTTAACAATCAACATATACAAAACAATTTAAACATATTAAATTTTTAACATTTCATTTCTTCACCCCACTCTTAAATTATTACCCAGTTAACAGAAGATTTTGGAGGAGGGCCACAAGGGACCAGGGGATCAAACTTGATGATATCCATACTATTTATATAAAAGAGTGTACTTGGACCATCACTTTGGATAAAAACTGGACTATAATATTCTAAGACAAACAAAATCTAAAATTATTGTTAAAAGAGATGCAATAATAACTATTTTATATAAAAGTCCCCTTGAGAAGGCTGCTGCTTAATGATACTTTCAATCTATCCTAACTCTGTTGAATATCTTGAAACTTAGTCTTATAATAAGAGTGCATTTGCTTTCAGAAATACCAGTTGCAGTTTGAGTACTACCTCTAGAAGTGCTGAAGACAATTATGAATTAGCTGGGGGTCAGGTAAGAGAATTCAAAGCACTAGGGATAACAAAGAATAAAGGAAAAGAGGTGCGAACTAGGGAGGCAGTCCACCACAGTGGGTAGAATGTGGCCTCTAGATTAAAACAGCCTTCGGTTTGAATTCCCCCTCTACTACCTGCTCCCCCTAAGTTGTTGGATGAGTTACTTTATGTGTCTCTGCCTCTTCATCCGTAAAATAAAAATTGCTACTCCACTCTTAGTGTGTTCAACAGGATAAACAATTAAACATATAAAATGCTTGGATCAGTTTCTAGTACTTCAGTTTTCAATAAATATGGGCTATTATTATCACTGGCATTCAGGAAAGTGCCCATAAAGTTCACTGTGAAAAAAACCAAAGGTCAGATCTTGAAAAGATCTTGAACTAATAAATCCTGTTAGAAATGAGGAACTGCTAAAGGATCCTAAAATAAAGACCAACATGGTCAGATCTGTATTTCTAGAATCTGGCAGCAGTATGGAAGATGGGAGCAAGAGGAGGGAGGAAAGTGTGGTAAGATTAGAAGCCAGGAGATCAGTTAAGACAGTGGTTCTCAATCTTCCTAATGCCGTGACCCTTTAATACAGTTCCTCATATTGTGGTGACCCCCAAACATAAAAGTACTTTCATTGCTACTTCATAACTGTAATTTTGCTACCGTTATATCTTAGGCGACCCCTGTGAAAGGATCGTTCGACCCCCATAGGGGTCGTGACCCACAGGTTGAGAACCGCTAAATTAAAACGATACTTCAAGAGTTCAAGAAAAAGACATGTTCAGATTGAAAGACAAAGAAATAAAACACATTCTCACCCTAAATTTGTGTACTAGTTCCTTTAGCATCAGTTTGTTTTTCTAGACCTAAGTCTATCATCAACAACTTCTAGATTCACTATCTTCATCTCTTAGATGACACTGGTAACTTTCCCTTACCACAAGCAGTGCCAATACTTGTTTGCCATTTACATATACTCTGATTTCCCAATCAATAAGAAATAGATCCCTCAATTACTTTACCTACTTGTTTAAATATTTATTCTTTTTTTTTTTTTTTAATTTTTTTTTTATCCTCACCCGAGGACATTTTTCCATTTTTTGTACAGATAGAGTAGGAGGGAGAGAGAGGAAGAGAGAGAGAGGGAAACATCGATGTGAAAGGGACACATCGAGTGGCTGCCACCCGCACAACCAACCAGGGCCGGGGACAAACTGCAACCGAGGTACATGTCCCTAGCGGGAACCGAACCCGGGTCTCTCTGGACCGCAGGCGGACGCTCTAACCGCTGAGCCAAACCGGCCAGGGCTAAATATTTATTCTTATTCCACCCAAAAAGGGGTAAAAAGTACAAAAAAAAAACTTCTCTAATAAAACTAAGCAAAATTAAAAGTGGAAAGAAAAATTGCTTTGAATTATAGTTTTTAGAAATCTTCAAAGATATAAATAATCCTCTAAAGTTTTATTTTGCATCATGATGTACATTCTTGTGGGGCACTCATTTTACCTAACCAGGTAGGTTAATGAATTTATATATTTTTGTAACAGCAGAATTTCACAGACTAGTTTAAGATTTTAAAATACTATTTTTTAATACTCTATTTCTTAATTTTAAGGGACTGTGTTCCATTTTTCTAACATTTTCCATAACTCAAACCTGCCCATGGCCAGAATCAATATGTGAACATACCAAAAATCACCTTACTCTGCCACATATTTTCCCTCTCAATATATAGTACTAGGCACAAGGGACTCCAAGGCAATAATCTGATTGGAAGAGATGATAAAGGATTTGCCTTCTAGGTTTGTTTGCATACTAAGAACACTGTTTTTATGCATACCTATAATTCCTAGAGATGATAGAGATTATGGAAGGAGAAGTAAAGCCAAGAAGCCCAAGTTGCCATTGCAATTATAAATTTACTTTTAATGTCAGATCTCATGAAGAGCCATCAGGCCATTTATTTTAAAAGTATTATATAAAGAGAGAAATAAGCCCTGGCCGGTTTGGCTCAGCGGTTAGAGTGTCAACCTGCGGTCCGGAGAGACCCGGGTTTGGTTCCCGCTAGGGGCACATACCTCGGTTGCAGTTTGTCCCCAGCCCTGGTTGGTCGTGCGGGTGGCAGCCACTCGATGTGTCCCTTTCACATCAATGTTTCTCTCTCTCTCTCTCTCTCTCTCTCTCTCTCTGTTCCTGTCTCTCCCTCCCACTCTACCAGAACAAAAAAGGAAAAATGTCCTCGGGTGAGGAAAAAAAAAAGAGAGAAATAAGAATAATTACTTATCTGAATAGGACTAAAAATCCTGTTTTTTTCTCTTTCCCCATTTAAGAAGGATCAAAAAACTTTCTCCAATAGATTTAAAGTATTCATTTCTATTTTTCTCTATATATCAACATACATTAGCCAGATGGAATCAGTAATCCACATACTGGTTCACAAAGAAATATGAAAGAAAGCTCCAGCTACACTAAGCATATCTAATAAGGACTTTGTTCACACAAGAGAATTGACATTACTGCTACTTAAATTCAAACTACATGCTATGAATACTAAGATTAAAGTGCAAAATATATGATGCAAAAACATAGGGAGCTGAATACTTTTATGTTTTGAGTCACTTTTTAAAAAAACAAATTAAGTCTCTCCTAGGTTTTTAAGAGATTTTCTGTCAAAAATTCAAAATAGCCAATGGCATTTAAAAAAAAAAAAAACCAGCAAAGATTAAAGATACTAAAGATGATATATGTAAGCATACAACACTTCTAACACCCTCTTTCTCATCTCACTAAGCACCTCCTGGAAGTTCTACACATTAGGAAAATAGGTCTTAAAGAATAATCCATACTGTTCTTTACTTTGCTTCCCACAGAGATCTTATAAGGTGACAGAAAACTAGATTCATCTTATAAAATAAAAAAGACTAAAAATACTGTAAGTTTTGTAATAAAGACTGTAAAAGATATCATCTTTATCCATTTCCTTCTATCAGCATGCTCCCAACCGCCACCATGATATATAATATATATGCTCAAGGTTTTGACTAAGAGAGAAAAAGTACGTTCTTCCAAATCACCATTCTACTCTTTCAAACATAACATCCTAAATTTTAAAGAACTGCAGTTAATGTCTCTGGTGTGGGCAAAGGAATCCGCATTGCAGAAGTTGTCACAGAGCAAAGAAACAGCATCATTTAAGAGGGCTACATACTTTTTGTTATTACTTTTATCTGTGTAGGAGATACCATAAAATCCATAGTAAGAACTAGATATATTTGCTGAGTACTCTATCTTCAAGGTATAGTTGTGCCCCTCAAGGAGTGCTTCAGGGGCAACAATGGCGATTTGTTCATGAAGTGGGTATTCCAGGACCTCAACTTGTCTTTCTTGGCTTGAAACTGCTGACATAAAGGTCACTCTTGAAATATTATGGCCCGTGCTGTGAAGAATGATATTCCATGTGGACTGAAGAGCCTGAAGCGAAATCGTCACAGAACCCTTGAATGTCATTGAGGTTAGGTTTGGGTGGAGGTTAAGTTCATAGCGCAGTGGCATAATGGCAGTGGGAAGCCTGATTTGTGCCCATGGAAACAACTTCCCATTTGTTGCAATTGGCTGAATTAGTTCCATTGATTGGTTTTTCTTATGGCAGCCTTCTTTGGTAAAGGTACATCTGGGCAGTAGATAAATCACCATTATTACAGAAACGGCAAGCAAAATGATGAAAGCACAGACCACCATGGTCCTTGCAGAAGGTACTGAACAAGTCCCTTCTGAGTTCTGCCTGTAGCCGGCTGCACTGTTCCGAAGGCCTGAGCTTCTGTTCATAAAGGACATGCCCAGTAGTTTTGCAGATGACTCATAATCCTCTTCATCCTCATCCATCTCATGCTCACCGAGACCCCGCACCAGCAGTCGTGAACCCCGGGGCTCATATTCCACCTCATCAGGTTCTAAAGGATGTAAACAAGGCTCTTTGGCTAAATCCACCACATCTGGTTCTTCCTCAAACATGCTGTTTTCAATCATATTCCTGGGGAGTGGAAGCCGATCTAAAACCAAAACATAAGAACAAGACACAGAGTTAGGAAGAAAAGCTCATAACAAAATGTCTACTAGCAAGACCACATTTAATCTAAGAATTTTTTTTTTATTACCAAGATTTATTTCCATCTCAGAGCTACTGAACTAAATAAGATGCTATAATTTTCTTGTATCCATTCAAAACTCAGGCATAAATAAAAGTATACTATAGTCATGAAACCAAGAAAGCTAAATAAACAGGCTAGTATCAAAAAAAGGTAACTAAGATTATCCCGGCCAATGTGGCTCAGTGGGTTGAGCGTCACCCTATGGATTCAAAGGTCCTGGTTCAATTCCCAGTCAGGACACTTGCCCAGGTTGCCGGCTCGATCCCTTGCAGGGGACTTGCAGGAGGCAGCCTATCACTGTATCTCTCTCTCTCACATCAATGTTTCTATCTCTCTCCCCTCCTCTCTCTCTAAAAAAAATGAATAAAAAAATTTTTTTAAAAAAGGTAACTGAGATTAAATACTAACTTCCTTAATACACTCCTGCCCGACAAGGTGGGCCCTTGTTCTGAACTTCAGAGGGCCCTGCTTTGGCCCGACTCTGGCTGTGCCTGTCCCCACAGGGTGAGCAGTCAGTAAGATCACAGAGATGTGCCCACACGCGGTCCATGTCCCCCTTCTGAAACCCCACAATTCCTGCTTGTAGGGCCTCTGTGGGTCTCTTTCTCTGAGTCCCATTCTCCCTAATGAGGATAACAAACTGGCATGCCCTTTACAAGCTTAAACAATGGCTAAGCAACAGGCTGGGTTCTCCCCCCCCCCCCCCCCCGGAAGAGGGATGTTCCTGTTCCACAGCAAACTGAAAGTGGTAAATTATACAGAAAATTTCCATAGTCATGACATACTAAAAATAAGACAAAAGAACTGTAAGAATCAGATATAACTACAATCCAACCTGTTTTCTCATGTTTCCAGAGCATTCAGAAGTACAACATATACCTCTCTGTAACAACCATATTACATACACCATGATGTATAAGTGGATCTTGGGGTTGGATGGTGGTAGGAGTTTTTATCAACTACAAGGAACCACTCTCCAACTTGCTAAGAATCACAGGAAAAAAAAAAACAACCTCAAAGAATAAATGGGTAAATAATCGCACACAGATCAGTAATGCCTAGGATCAGATCATTCAATGTTCTTTATTTAAGAATCACAGAATTTTAGCTTTTAAGGGATCTCAAAAGTTTGATCATTGAAACCTCCATTAACCTTTCCCTACAAGGTATTTTACATAGTATTTCCAACTCTCATAACAATTCCATAAAAAGGCAAATATTATAACTATTTCAGTAAGAGAAAAAAATAGAAAGGGGGGTTAATTTATCCTCATAAAGTCAGTTATTTATTCACAAAACTGAGACTGGAACTCAGTTCTAAAAATCTGATACCAAATTTTAGATTCTTTCCATTATTATGTTGCATCCCCCTACTCAACTAATCCAATAAATGATGAGAGTTTGTATGTAAATTGTTTATTTTTTTGTACATGGCAATGAAGTTGCTAGGATATTATTTCGCTATCAGCAGAGCAAAACATAAGTAAAATTACTTAATATCTAGCTTACCAGAAAATGTCATGTATTTTGTGCTATTCAACAAACACCAAATAACTAAACATTGGCAACTTGTAATCCATAAAACAAAGTACCAATAAATATTAATATAAAATTTATAGTCTTGCTACTCAAAATAGCAGCTTTTCAGAAGAACAGACTCTCAAGTCCCTTCCCTAAATCTGAATTTTAACAAATGCTCAGGTGATTTAAGTGCCCAGAAGTTTGAGAGCATTGGTTTAAGCCTTCTCGCCCACAATCAGCTAGATACTAGACACTCCATTCCTGGGTGTGCTCTAGCCATCCCAAACTGTTTTCTACTCTGAGAACACGCCAAGCTGCTATTTCATGCTATCCTCCACATGCCTTCTTTCCTCTGTTCCCTTTGCCTGCCATGTCATAATTTCTCCCTTTCATCCCATTCCACCTGGTGAACACCTGTTATTCCATATCTCAGTTTAACTTGCTACAATATAAATTAACAAAAGTTATTTATTTTTTATTACCTTTTAAAAATAGTTTCTTTCACTTTATCTCACTCCTTTTTTGCTTTCGGGAGCACAGAGACCCAATTAGGTTGCCTTTTTCTACCTCCCCTCCAACTGGAACTTCAAAAAAGCTATGCTAGTTTAAAAGTTTTCTTTGAACAAAACTTTTAATCACTTTCTAAGTATGCGTTTAGCAAGTTGCCATCTACCCATCTGTGAATGATCTGGAAATGGAGGAAGGGTGATAGAACATCCTGCTTTGGGAATTTAGTCTCCCAAACTTCCTATAGTGCACCAATTTCTGTGACAAAGTTTTACTTATTTTTTGATAGTTCATTGTGTTTGGGAGTCACTTATTTAATTAACAGAGCAAATATTCCTGTAATTGAACTTAAAATTTTTTAATTCTTAGTGAACACTCAATGGTTAGACATCTTCTGTAGTAGTGTTTTAGGATTTGGCAGTGCTACAGATTAGTTGCTTTATTTGCTTTTTTCATTTAAAAATGTCTAAAAGGCCGTGGCCTTTCATGACTTTTTAAAAATCTCATATGGAAAAATTATGTTCTCTTAGGCATTTGCCCATGTGTTTTGTTCTTATCAGACCTAATATAGACAATAGCGGGGTCTGGATTTCTTTAATAAATTTCTAAACTAACTCTAGGTATGATCTCAGCTTCATATTTAGAGCATTCCCATCCCTGAATTCATTTCTCTCTCTAGAACTTTGTTTTTTGTGTTTCTGGATACCTAAGTCATGCCCTGTTTAAAGCCAAAGGGTAATTCACAGTCTGACCATTTTAGCATCTCCTGTCCATAATTCATTAACTTCAAATCTTTGCAAGGGCTTAGTGAGATCCCTGTCAAAATCTAGATAACTTTTATTTATCACCCAGTCACATTAATACGTATATAAAATTTTAATCTTTCATAAATAGCATGTATCAGCCAATCTGCTGTATTTTACTGCACATTCGAAACAAACTTTTATATATGTGTGAAAGCATGTCAAGTTAAATACATCAGACCAGGGGAAATCACTTTTATTACAGGTAGCCCATGAAGACTGTACTTCAAGCCTATTTAAGAAAATGTTGCTTTGGATTCTGAAGTCAGCAAACTTTGATCTTAGCATTAAATTGTAATGTAACATATGACTACCCCTTACTCACATGGGATTTATTCATATTGAAAGAGGGGATCTTAAAGAAACAGGAAATTTTCTAAAACCTCTTAAATCCACATATACAAGCAATCTATGAGCCAAGAGCAAAGAATGTCCTAGTTGAAATATTTCAGTTTTAAATAACATAGGCCCATGTGGTTATAATCTGAGAACACTGAAGACATTTCTTTCATCAGATACCATGAACTGGTGCTCCTCAATGTTGTCTATGGATCAGTGCCAATCCACAAACTGTTATCTATCTGTGACAGAATACATGTAGAAAATCAGTATTTGAAAACTTCTATAGAAATTTCAGAGTAATCTTATGTCTATCAAATTTAAAATGGAACTTATATTTTATGTCTTTTTTCATTTATTTTCCAATGATTCATTTTTTGTACACCTGCATTTCTGCAACAAATTAAAAATTTTAAAAACAGAAAACAAGAAACCTTAGTTCTTCATCTCAGATAATGTGACAAGCAAAGGGTTGGCTTGTCACAATAATGGCAATCCAGGTCGATATAAAATGCTCAGCTGTCACAGGAGCAGTGAAAGTAAACAGGAGGGCATGACTACAAGTCATGCTAGAGGTTCACAGGACCCGTCTGACACCAGCTAGGGCTGGATGAGCCTGTAGGGTGGGAAATAGAGGAAAGTCTACATCAATTCTCCATACAATTCTGGCTTGGATAACTAAAAGAAAGAATGCCATTCATTAAGACTGAGAATATAAATTTTCATATTATCTCTTGTTTTATTTGGGGGGCTTGGGGGACAGTGAGAATAGAGTTATGAGATGGCATCTGGTGTGGCACAAGGCATATTTAATTTATCTGTCAGACAGCCAAGTGAAGATATTTGATTAATAGCATATTATAGAGTTAAAGGCCTAACTCTGGACAGAAGTTAAAATCCTGGCTCTTCCACTTACTGCTTGATCTCAAATTGGTTACCAAACATGCTTTAGTTTAAATTTCCTCACTTATAAATGTGGAAAACATTACTATTTTGTAGGACTGTTATAAAGATTATATTATGTGGGTCTGAACTAAAAAAAGGGATATGGGTGAAAGATTCAGATTTCAGAATTTTCATGTAATTTTAATTAAATAATAATTAAAATCATGCGTATACATACAAGTATTGAAAGAGAGATAAGAGTCAATTAAAGAGGTGGGCCGAGGAAGAGAGGGGCAGCAAAGGAGAATAAGTGAAATCTACTAGAGGTAGGAAAATCAGGGATATAAGCATCCCAGAAAGCAAAGGAAGGTTTTCAAGAAGGATCTGGTCAGCAATTAACAATTTAGAACAGCAACTTTCAACCAGTGTGCAACAAGAATTTATAAAACACGCAATACCTGATTAGTGAGGGGCACTAACCTATTTTCCCTTAGACTGTCAAATGAAAAAATGACAACAGCCCTGGCCAGTGTGGCTCAGTTGGTAGAGCATCATCCCATGAACCAAAAAGATGGCTGGTTCGATTCCTGGTCGGGGCACATGCCAGGGTTGTGGGCTCGATCCCCAGTCAGAGGCATGCATGAGGCAGCCAACTGATGTTTCTCACATCGATGTTTCACTCTCTCTCTCCCTCTCCCTTCCTTTCTCTCTAAAAAAAATTAATAAAGACATACTTTTTTATTAAAAAAAAAAGACAACAGCCAACACAATGATAGCCATCAGGTGTGAATGAATCAAAATTATATCTATTTTTTTGGTCAGATCAGCAAAAAATATAATGTTTTTGGTGTGCCACAGAATTTTAGTAATTAGTTTGTGTGTGCCATGAGATGAAAAAGGTTGAAAATAGCCGTCTTAGAAAGGTCAAGTAAATAAGGCCTAAAGAGACTACTAGATTTGGCAACCAGGGAACCAGTAACCTTTATGAGGTGTGTTCAGTGAAGCAATGGGAACAGAAGCCTGACTTCAGTGGTCCATAGAAAGAATGGAAAGTTAACAAGAGAAGGCAAGGGGTGCAGACTATTCTTTCGAGGTACATAGATGTGTATCAAGAGCAAAACATAGGGTCAAGGTCAAACTGAAAGAAAATGTGGCCTACAGAACAGTTAAATCCTTTGGGTTTTTGTTTGTCTGTATTTAAGATGAGAACTTAAGCATATATTTCTGTGCAGAAGAAAAAGTAAAGAATGGCCAAACGTGGAGGTGGAGAAGACTAAGGAAACGCAGTATCTCAGAGGGATAGGGAGACATCACAAGAACTCCAGTAGAAACACTAACCTAGATGGGAGTTAGGCACTTCTCCCTCCAAGCCTGGAGAACAGGGGGCAAGACAGAGAAGCACGTGTTTGAACATGGAAAGCTGAGGGTGTGAAGAGCAGAGGGCCTCCCCATTCTTCATGACAAAGGAAGCAAGGTCATCTGCCCAGAGCCAAAGGCAGTCTCAGGGAAGGCATAGGTGACTTGAAGAGAAAAATAAAAGACAGACACTATGGGAGACAACCAGGGAAGGGGCCTAAGGACAAAGTATGACTGAGAAGTTCAGTAATAAGCCCAGTGGAATATATCACACTACCAGTCTCCATAAATGTGTTCAGCAGTACCTACCAGCCCAGGTCTAAAAAAAGAGAAAGCATGTTATGTGTATTTTACCACAATAAAAAATAAATGAGCCCTGGCCGGTTTGGCTCAGCGGTTAGAGCATCGGCCTGCGGTACAGAAAGACCCGGGTTCGGTTCCCGCTAAGGGCACGTACCTCGGTTGCAGTTTGTCCCCGGCCCTGGTTGGTCGTGCGGGTGGCAGCCACTCGATGTGTCCCTTCACGTCGATGTTTCTCTCTCTGTCCCCCTTCCTCTCTCTCCCTCCCACTCTATCTGTACAAAAAAAAAAAAAAAAATGGAATAATAGCCTCGGGGGAGGATAAAAAAAATAAAAAAATAAATAAATGAAAATCATTTTTTAAAAGTAGAGAAAACACATGGTGAATCGAGGGTTAAATATGTAGGGAGGAAGTGATGAGAACCTAAGGAGTAAAATGCATAGAGGGTGCTGGCAAGAGAACAAGGGATGAACTGAGGAGTTCAATTGAAAAAATATGACAAAAAGTAAAGCTATGGCAAACATGGTGAACAACTCGAATTAAAAGGAGCAAACTTCCCACAGGCTTTAATCCCCTCAAACTACCATTACATTTTCTGAGAAAAATGAAATAGGGTGTATTTCCAAATCAATAACCCAAAATAATTTTATAAGAATGGCCTAATCAAAATAAGGCTTCTTGAGTTGATACAAGATTTACTATATTCAATTACATACTATAGCAACTGAATTAGGCTCTAAAAATAAAAGATTAGCCCCTGGCTGGTTTGGCTCAGAGGTCAGAAAGGACATTGGCCCGCGGACCAAAGAGCCGTAGGTTCGATTCCAGTCAAGGGCATGTACCTTAGTTGCGGTTTGTCCCCAGTCATGGTCGGGGTCGTGCGGGAGGCAACCAGTCAATGTGTCTCTCTCTCCTTCCCTCCTTCTCTCCCACTCTATATGAAAATAAATGAAAAAATATCCTCAGATGAGGATTTAATAAATAAATAAAAGATTAGTCTTCTGAGGCCCCAATGACACATTTAAATAGAGCTAAAAACTCCAAGCATGAGACAGAATTTACATCTTCTAGATCATTTCCAAATGGAAACTTCATTAAATTTCTGAAGTGATGGCTAATTATCAAATAAAGTAACTATTTGCCTATCAGCAATCCTCTTCCAGCAAAAATGGATTTTATTTTAAAGACATTTAAGCTTAAAAAGATTAGAATTTAGAACCAAAAAAGTGACTTTTTTGAACAGCTTTAATCTGACAAAAAATATTCTACCCATCACCAATTCCAATGCTCATGTTAAGTTACAAGTTTAGATATATCATCATCTCACCAGACTATGAAGGGCAGTCATTAAGAGAGAACAAATTTTAAAGATGTTTTAAGTAGTCCCTTTTCTTGGCACATCTTGTTTTCCTTAAATCTCAATGTATAAGCAGTGTCATAAAACAAAAACAGAGAAAGTCTTGTGTGGATTCCTACTTTTACTCCTAATATATAATGCTTTTTCACAAACCACATTTATTTTCCGGTTGACAGGCCCAAGGTTATAACCCAGGATGCAAGATCCAAGTAAAGTCTTTCTTTCTTTTTTTTTTATCCTCACCTGAGGACATTTTTCCAATTCTTGTTCAGATAGAGTGGGAGGGGGAGAGAAAGAGAGAGAGAGAGAGAGAGAGAGAGAGAGAGAGAGAGAGAGAGAGAGAAGCATTGACATGAAAGGGACACATAGAGTGGTCGTCACCCGCATGACCCAACCAGGGCCAGGGACAAACTGCAACCGAGATACGTGCCCTTCGCAGAAACCGAACCCAGGTCTCTCTGGACCGCAGGGCAACGCTCTAACTGCTGAGCCAAACCGGCCAGGGCTCTTTCTCTCTTCTGTTCCCCTCTCCCCACTTCTGAAGAGAGAAGGGGGAGGTAAATGGATGACTGGGGGTTAGAGGCAGGAAGATCAGAGAGAAAAGATTCTGTTCATGAGCACCATAAGCTCACTTTACTCTTCAGTTAGAAAAAGACTAAGATTTATTTTTCCCGCTTATGAAACCTACAGTTCACTTCAACACATATAAAAATGCTGTGGGAGACTAGCACTTCCAATATTACAAAGTAACTGGTGCCAGACTTTTCCTCCTCTCATAAACAACTATTAAAATGATGCAACTATTTTGAGGAACTGGACAACAGACAGAGCAAGAGTGTGACCTCTGAGAGAAGAAAAGGTGAGCCTACATTTGCTCTGGTTCTCTGCCTAAGGACCATTTCCTAACTGTAGTACAGTGAGCTATACTGTAAGCAGAGAAGGGCTGGTAGGCAGAGACAGGGCACCAGAGAGGAGGGAACTGTGTAGAGGAGGGACCATAACAGTTTGTACAGGGTTTCCTGAGAGCTCCTAACCAATGCAGGGCATAACTCCATGAGGCTTACAAAAGGGTAGCTGTAATAAGGTACATAAAAGAGAAAATGGTAAAACTCAAGAGAGAAAGAGAAACATATACAACCATAATTAAAGATTTCATCATCTTTCTCTGCAAAATTGATAGAACAAGTAGACAATAAATACATAAAGCAATAGAATATCTGAACAATACCATCAATCAATTTGGCTGGCCTAATTGACATTCATAGAACATTACACCAAATAACTTCAGAACACATATAAAACATTCACTAATATGGAATATTATGATGGGCCATAATATAAATCTCGACAGATTTCAAAAGACTAACCTAGTATTTTAGAGACTGTGTTCTCTGACCACAATGGAAACAATTAAGAAATCAATAATAATAAATTATCTAGATAGCTAGTTACAGTGCAACCTCAATATAATGGACTAATTCAAGTGAGGGGGTGTCCATTAAAGCCAAAAGTTCACTGTATAATAAAGTATGTTTTCCAAATGCGTATGTTAAAAAATTGACAAATTAGTTTCCCTGTTTTTACTTATGTAGATATGTTTGTATAATTAAAATTAAGTATGTATGAAAGTTTAATTTCACAGAAAAGTTTTCTATATATATTACTGTAATTTAAATTTATACTGAATAGGTCTAGTAATTACATGCATTCACTAGTCACCACGAGTAAGCAAATGCACTCTTTC